ACTCAAAGAATATTTTTTACTTAGAAAAGATATGGCTAAAATCAATATTTAAAATTTTATTAAAAATTTTAAAATATACAGGCAAATTTGCCTGTGTTACAATCTAAGGGATAACTATTTCTTACTAAAAAAATTTTTTCATCCTATACGTAAATAACCATGTCTACTTGGGGTATTTCAAATACTAATTAGGCAAAATGATGTAAGAATCAATAATAATACTACTACGGTTAGATTTTATACATAAAATTGATCGGCAAAGTTGATACATCTTTACTAGTAAATTACTATCAAAAAAAGCGTTCAAAAAATTAACGCGATTCGTGTACAAATGACTTTTTTCTAGCAATTTTTGTAGCAAACAGTTGGCACGATATAGCCAAAAGAAGATACAGTTTAAAAATTCTAATTAATCGATCATTTTTGATTATTCTATTAGTAGTAATTTTTTCTTTTGTTTCGCCATATATGCTCTGGCTAAAAGATGAGCATTTGTTGTGAATTGGTCTTGATAACCAAAAATTTAAAACCGTAATTGTGTGAAGAGGGTTTTCATCATATTATAAGTAAAGTTTCATTGAAAGTTATTATGATGGTTTTAATGCTGCATTGTTTTAAAATCAACTTTTGTGATCATTAAATATTATAATTAAAAAAATCATGTATGTTTGTTATAAATTGACATTTATAATTAAAAGTTTAAAACTGTAATTGTCAAAAGAAGTTTTTCATCATATTGATAAAGTTTTATTAAAGTTGTAATAGTTTAATGTTGAATTTTTTTACAATCAGCTTTTGTTATTATTAGATGTTCTAATTAAAAAAACATACACATTTGTTTCGAATTGGCTTTTGTTAATAAAGATTTAAAAATGCATCAAGAGTAACTCGAAAATAGTTTTCGCATATCATAAATTTTAACTTTTTTATTCAAAATGCCTCTATCAAAGTATAAAGCACAATTAAAAAGTGCACTTGAATCACTGGCCAAAAAGCGTAAGATAGATCTATGCAAAAAACTTATTAATAAAATAATAAAACACTTAAATAAAATTACTATTCACGCACTTAAAATCATACATGATCAAATTTTTAATAACTCGAATACTAATACTCCTATATATAATACAATAATTCATACTCTTAACGTTATGCCTGAGACAGATCTTAAATCAACATCCCATCTTTTGTGTACTATGAAATATTCACACGGAAAGAATAAAGACCAAATTTTTTCTCCTTATATTCAAAAAAAGGCATCTAATTATATATCTGACTCTCTATACAAGCCTGGAAAATCAATAAATGCATTAAACTATAATAACAAATAGCTTAAAAAGAAAATTCAAAAATTACAATGGTCTAAAGACCGTGTAATTCATAAAGTTCAGAAACTTAATGGTTCAGTTGTACAGTTTAAGCACAAGCATCGTTAATACATATCCCGAATTTGTACTATAGCAAGATGCCCACCAGAATTAAAAGATGATAATATTAAAGCCGTGATTAGAAATATGGTTAAAAAAAACAAAAAAGAATATAACACAGATTTTATTAAACTCACTGTACAAGTTTCTCAAATTGGTCAAATATCTTTTACTTCTGCGGCAGCTAGTATGAAGACCATTTTCAATTTTATAACTGGGGATAATGCGCAAGTCTAGCTTTCTGCAGCAATCATTAGCCATTGGCATCGTGAGGTATCAGAATTACACGTACGAAACATCTTCCAGCAGGCCAATCAGTTAACTTATTTTACATTCAGAATAATGACTGATGAGTCAGGTCGTGGTGAAAAAAAATATTAGTAAATTGTTTTATATTTTGGAATTCTGCAAAAAATATACCTGATGTTGTACTCTTAGAGACCAAAGATCTTCAACATTGTAATTCTAATATGGTTAGCCAAGCCCTGGTTGAATCCTGTACGAAATATAATCTTGATACATCACAATGTCTTACTTTTCTTTCTGACAACACGAATTATATGAGCGGTCATGTTGGAGGTGCTGTCGCAAAATTTAATCGTCTAGCTAAAAGTAATTGTACTCGAATTCCCTGTAGATTACATGTATTATATTTAATCCTAATAATTTTGAGAAAACTGCCTTCGGTAAACTGTCAGCAAGTACTGGATTCTCGAAGACACGACACCCGTTTAATCTTCTCTATTTGGTATGGATGCTACATGACGAATATAATGATAGTGATAAAGATTCACCTTTAAATATGAGGGGTAAAACAATTAAGAATCTTTATAAGACATGGCTTGATTATCAGTTAGATAAATATCAACGTCCTTTACAGTCAAGATGGCAATATGAATTAATTACAGCTGAACAATATCTTGAAAAGCACGAAATTCATATAGAATTCATTAAATGGTTTTTTCTAAAATTAAAAAATCTAAAAAAGGTTTTGCGTTCATATGTTGAAAAATGGGAACTATTTGAAACTTGGTTAAATAATTCTGGGTTAAACATTGAAATAAAATGTTTAGTTAAATTCGGTCAAGAATTTTACCACCCATATGCTAAATTTCTTGTTGGCTACGATCCTCAACCAAGGATTGTACAATCTGATAATTCATTACAATATTTGCCATCTGGTCATCGGGCTCATCAAATGCCAGATTTTGTTGTTAATTCAACACGTAATCTCACAAATACCATAGAAAACCTTTATTTATTTTTTGGTGGTGAGCTTCTACAGTATACAGAAATTATGGATGATTCGAAAATAAAATCATTGGTTCAAAAATTAGAACAAGGAATACGAAAAGGACTTGAATTACATCAAAAATGGATGGATTGTTAGATTCATCTTCCTTTAAGCATGTGTCGCCTTGGTGGAAACAATGGCCAACAATTTGTACGTAGCTATTGGCATGTTGTGCTTAAAAAACCTTGGCAGAAAATTCTTAGTCTAAAAGAAGTTTGCTATGCAAAGTATCTGGAAACCGACATTCTTGAAGAAAATTTTGATGATTTCGGTCTTAAGGATGCATTAATTAATGAAATATTTTTTTCAAGAATTTAGCATATTCGTTAGTGAATCAACTGCCCTACTTCACCAATTCCCACTACTATATGACTTTGTTAAAAACAAAATTTGGTATATCATTGTTCACCAGCAGCAAATTGAGGGCCTATTCAATAAGTGGGACTTAAAAACCCACCCGAACATGATCAATTCTACCCAACAATCTAAAATGCATCTTGCTGTAGCAAAAATAGACGAAATTCAAATAACTGGTGAACAATTAAGAGATATTCGAAAAGAAAACAGAATAGCTCACAAACCACAAGATTCCACTTCATTAATCTAGTCAGATAGGCAACGAGAGCAAGAGGCAGACAATCTGTTTAAAAAATTATTTATAAGTCATTAATTTTTGATGTTAAAAAATTTTTTATGATACTTAAAAAAATATATATAGAATCAAATTACTATCGTGTCAGGTTTTTTTTATTAGATTTTTTTCATTACACACAGATCTTGTATTCTATTGGGCAAATAATATAGCCGGGGTCTGCTCAGGATCTACATGGGTGCATAAGTATCAAATAATACGTAAAAAATCTGTACTATCGATTTTTATTATTATACCTAATATAGTTTTGATTAATTAGTGCGTGAAATACCCCAATGTCTACTGCCAGAGAAGTGAGGGGATGTAAAACAACAGAACAACTAATAGAGTTTTTGGGCAAACAAAAACAAAACTTAGAACTTGAGGATAAGCATCTCGATTTTCTTAGTGAACAAGAATTAATTGGCGAATCCTTCCTCGAATTGAGTGTAGAAGAACTCATTGCTGCTGGGTTCAAAATAGAACCGGCTAAAATGATTATTAAGTCAATTAATAAAATCAAGGGCGAGAAACAGGGTAAGTAGTACCACGACTGCATTCGAATATTCCAAACCTATACTGCTTTTTCCGCGTCTCATAAACTTATTGTCATCATAGAACACGTTGCAACTAGAAAGCTTGATATACTATTGAGTATATCAGGGTGGCCCCCCAAAGTCCAGGTTGATGATTGACATCAGGCGTCGGATCGATGATGCCGCAGTTTATCGTGATTATTCACCGCCATTGTCATAAACAATCATCGACCCGGCATTGATCATTGACCCGGACTTTGGGGGGCCACCCTGATATACTCGTATACTATTTAATGTTTTATTAACTTGTTCTTTTTTCACATTTCTAACCCTCATTTCTTCAACCACAACTGGGTCTTGGATTTGCTTGCCTTCTATTATTTGTTTTCTCTGTGTCTTGCTTGAATTGAATACTAGCTGTTAAGCATAAGAAATCCGGTAAGATGATTTACTACCATGTATATTGCTACCAGCCGATATTTATAATTAATTAGGTTATTTCATCAGCATCAGACATATATTTCAGCATTATGAATAGTATATCAAGTCCTTCAAAATGGGCTAAAGATTGGACTAAAGATAGTAAACAAAAGAATAGAATTCTATTTCGCAATTACTGATCCACTAATGCCTCTGATATTCCAATTTAGTTTTACCATCAAATACTGTATTTGAAACGTTTATCAACTTTGCAAGGGATTGTCAAATATCAGAGAAGGAATATGAACTTGTGCTTGAACTTGCTTCTGTGATGTCCGGTGTATTTTCGGATAAAAGCCAGAGGGCAGATGCTTTTAGGTGTTGGTTTGAGTTATTTTTTGATAATGAAATAGAAATTCGACCAGAAAAATTAAATGAAGCCCACCAAAGTTCACGAATTGGTAAACGAAGGACAGATGGAAGAATATATCCAAAGATCGGTAGAGATAGAGTCCTTTTAGTAAACTTAGAAGTTAAACCTGAGCCTGGTACAAATGGCGATTGTTACATTCAGAATGATGCTTACTACAAAGAATTTGTAATCAAGTCCTGTAACCAGAAATCAGAGTTTTATAATAGGACCTGTTTGACTGCTTTCCTTATCAATCTAGATGGTATGTATATCTTTTAACACCCGATCACTATACCCGCTACCACCGATTTTAAATGCTCTCTAACTTCAAAAATAATAACACAGGACCAAATATATCGATATCCGGTGCTGTTTGTGCCCCTTTCATTGTTTGCGATCGCCTTACAGACATTTATCCACTGGATATAATTATTTATGATAATGCTAAAGCAGATGATGTTGCACGAATATTTCTGGCCTTAAAAAATTCTATATATCTATTAAAAGATTACTATAATTCCGTTTATGAGTCGAGAGAAATCTCTTGCAATACTAGCCCTTGGTTTCCACGCATCAATAAGATTGATTTAGAAGAAGGAACGGCCACCATTAAATATAAGAAGAAGCATTCTATATATCGAAATTTATGGATTGTAGAAATCCAGACCGAAAATACGCAAGAGAAGGGTTTAGTCAAATTCACTCAAAAATATTCCAAAGAAGCACATAGTACATGTTTCGAACTAGGTCTAGCACCAAGATTATGGGCAGTTAATAACCTTCAACAAGGCTGGAAGATTGTCGTTATGGAATATTTGGAGGAACATAAACCACTACATACTTTTCATTCAGAGTTACTTCCCCAAACAGAAAATGTGGTTAAAAATGCTATAAAGTTGTTTCATGATTCCGGTTACGTACATGGAGATCTTCGTGATGAAAACATCATAGCCAAATACAATAATGGTAAAATTGATATAAAATTTGTGAATTTTGATTGGGCGGGAAGAGAAGGAGAAGCAAAGTATCCCGAAAGTCTAAACCCTACTATTAACTAGTATCTAGATGTTGGTTGGCACAAATTAATCAGAAGGGAGCATGACAATCATTTAGTTAATAATATTTATCTCAGTATAATGTCTGATAACGAACCCTCAAAAAAGCGATGGCGCCTCTCAGAATGGATGAATTAATAAATTATTTACGTTTTCTTATTTTAATATAGCATTTCTATTATTGTCATTTACACTAGTATTGGGTGCATCACGAATAAAACTAAAATATATACTTTGTCCAACACCAAAATAATTGGCCATGTAATAATTTTTATAATTGGGAATTATTTTTAACGCTCAATAAATCGCATTTTTATACGAAATTTGAATACGAATTTTTTGTAACCTTATTTTACATCCGCATATAGAAAGACTGTCTATTGTTCCTAGGGTGGTAAAGATAGTACTAACATTTTTTGTATTATATATTCATAAAGAAACTCTATTAAAGATATAGATTTTATGACTAGGGAGGTCATGCAAAAAACTTAATGGATTCATTCGTATTCATGAATATATTTTTTTGCTGTTATTCACTATCTATCAAAAAAAATTTTAAACTTTTCGAAAATATATTTGTCACAGGATAATTTGTACTAGATTTTTTTTTTATTACTGTTAGGACAAATTTTTTTAATGCAAAACTGTGAATTCTTATAATTTTGTAGAACATTATACTTGCTAATTGCTCTTTGATATTTAACACGGGAAAAAGTGGCATCTAAAGGTTCGAAAAGCAGTTCAACCTTATCTTCTCTTCCACATTAATCCTTATACTCCTATCTTATTTTCATTTTTTGCTATACCAATAAACTGGTCCTGGTGGCCCAATTTCGCATACATAATCTTGTTTACTTTTGCATGTGTATTTTGATGCTGTATATGATATACCGATGTATATTAATCTGTATATGTGTATTTTTTTGGTGTTTTACACTTTTTGGAATAAATTCAACGATTTTATCATGTGGTTAACTTTAACAAAAAATAACGAAAACGACTAGTTGTCCACCCTTTTCATGCTATTCTTGAGATCACAATTGAGTGATATATTTTTTATATTATCTACTACATTAATATTTTTCTTGGCAAGTGTCGATGTGAAAAATAAAAAAAATTTTTCTTGACAATTTTCTGATACCGCGTAGTTCTGCAAATTTTTATTGCAGAATGAATGGTTACCGATATCATGACATATCTTTTTATATACAGTACTAACGGGCTATTGAATATTTTATATTTTATATAAAAATACCATCCATCATGACAAACACTCAATCCAACAAATCATTAAGGGAATTAAATACCAAGCTCTTAGCTGAGATTTGTGAGCTTAGGAAGAAGGTTGCTGAGGATGAGGTTGAGAAAACAAAACTGAGACAGGAGCTTAAGGCCAGAACTAATGAGCTGGAGAAAACTATATTGTATTATTCAGTTGAGATTGGCAAACTTAACGCCATAATTGTGGAGCTAGAGAAAAATAAGACAGTTATAGCTAAACTCGAGTCTGAAAATACAGAGTTTAGAGATAGGATCACGAAAGTAGAGCAGAGACAGATGCTAAGTGATAATATTTCTAAGGTAACCAATTCTTCCAATAACAGCTCACCTAACTTCAATTCGCTTGCAGATCAGTTAGCTATGAAAATGGATACTTCATTACCTAAAGAACCGATACCAGAAAGGTTACTAGAGCCAGCTGTTAATATACCTGTTATGGACCAATATGATCAGATATCCTTGAAAGATAAGGAAACGGATTCTTTCTTGAATGAGGTGTATATGAAAAAGGTTAGTGATGAGATTAGACAGTGCAATAGAGAGAAGAAACCTCTATATGAATCGGTTAATCAAGAGGCATTCCCAATTTCCCAGGATATTTCTTTTGTGAAGGGTCATAATCAGAGCAGTCCAGAAAATTCGGAAAAAAATGGAAACTCTGTCACAAAATGTGACGATCGGCAAAAAAATATTCCAGTTTCAGGAAAATAATGATGATGATATTGAGTTCACTAAAAGTCATGTTGTAGAAATTGCTCAGCGGTATCATATCTGCTTCATCAATCTCTTTTGAGGCTACAGAACGGATACCTTTGGTACCACATCTATCATCATCTCTAGATACGATGCAAAACTTAGTCTATTTATTCCAAAATGCAATACGAGCTGGACACGAGGTGATTTTATCTTGGCTCGATTATTCAAATAGTTTTGAAAATAAAGTTGATGAGATTCGCCATGATACTGGGGCTTCAGATAAAACAGCTAGATCACAAATACAAAGAAATGCTAGAGCATCTACCTGGTATCACATTGGGAAACTTGCGTATGAGAACTCTACAAGCTAAAAAAATCTGTATGTTATTTGGGAAAGGTAGAGTGGGAATAGATAAAATTAAACAGGTTACTTTCAGTGTTTATGATATTTCAAGCCTTACTATTAATCAAATTCAAAATATTATAGATCATGTGATTTCGAAAACCATGAAGAATTCTTCACAATCAGGAGTAAGTAAATCAAATACAACTCCTATCTCATCATCTCTATCATCTCATAACTCTTTACCGGAAACCGAGATAAGTACACCTATAGTATCTCATCCTGAAGAGACTTTATTTGAAAGTATATCAGCTAATAATATCTCACCAGAAACTAAGATCTCATCCACACCTCAGGTAAGTATACAAACCTATGATCATGCTTATTTTCGTAATAAAATATTGGATTGATATTCTGATATATATAAAGAATTTAGTAGTGAAAAATTTGATTATTATGGAATTATTGATAAGTCGTTATATCCAGCATGTAAATTAAGTCATAAGGATGAGAAAAGTATAAGAGGTAGATATGAAGCCAGATCTTATTTTATTAAATATGGACAGCATGAAATTGAGATAAAAGCATAAGTCATAAAGTCATCTAGGTATATTCTTTTGGTTCAAATGATCGTAAACTAATTAGCTATATTTATTTTTTTAATTATTATTTTGGGATATACACAGAGTGTCAGCACGTAAGTATTCTTGTTATATAAGTGAGACAAAAACATAACTCATATTTAAATTGAATTTGCGGTCATATAAAACAATAACATAGATAAAGTCTTAACTCCTGAATATTTGAACTGGCATGCTAAATTGGTTGATTCACTGAGTCATTTGACAGATAAAATTTATTTGAGCTTATATAAAGTATATATGGAGGAGACTAGGCTTGATCTCTGGATAAACTCTGAAACTCCTGAACCCCCACAAATTGAAAATGATACCAAAAAAAAGATGTTATTTGTTCTACAGATAAATGTTCAGCCTACACCATCTAAACTTCGATCATCAATTTCTATTCTACCTAAAGACCCGGAAGAGAAACAAAAACATGTTATTAAAATAGTATTAGAGCGATTTTCTAATTTAACTTTAAAACATAGTTTTAAATATAGTAATTATTTTGATTTTAATAGATCTGTACTCTGTCCTATATACAATAAAGACCATAA